CAAAATTGCCTCTCCAGAAAGCCGATCTAGAAGTTTTGTTAAAAGTCAAGTTTGGTTTGTGTTTTACTATTTATTAAGAATTTGCACGCATTTTGTGTGAAAAGAAATTCAGACACTATAGAGTATATAGGATAAAAATCCTCATGCACACACATGCACACACACACACACACACACACACACACACACACAGACTTTGTTTTTCCCTAGAGGAAACCACTGTTAACAATTTTGTGAGCATCCTTACAGGTGCTTATGTGTACCCATATATATTTCTATGTATGATTACTTTACCAAAATTGGATCATATACTATTTACACTATTCTGTGGCTTGCTCTTTATACATAACAATACATCTTTTGTATTTTTTCATCTCAGTAGAAATAGCTCTACTTCCTTCATTACAAAAAATATGAATAGGTAATACATGAACATGACAGTCTGTGTAAAAGAGACAACAGGATATATAGAGTCTTCCTTCAATCTCCCAGCCAGTCAGTTTCTCCCCAGAGACAATCACTATTACCAGTTTCTTAAGTATCTTTCCGCAGCTAGGCAATGCATGCATATAAACATATTAAATATATATATATATATTTACATATACAAACAGTAGCATTCCAGACACAGGTTTTATATTTTGATTTTAAGCTTTAACATATCTTGGAGACCATTCCATATATAAAGCTATCTCATTTTTTTCAAATGACAACATAGTATTTTATTTTGTCTTAATCAAATTTCACACGTGGATGTTTCTAATTTTTCACAATTAGCTGAATGCAACCATACTGAATAAAAATTTGGAAGTTATTCAGCAAAAGGAAAGAGAATACACCAAAATAGAAAGAAGATCAATAAAAAGTATTTAAGATTGTGAAGAATTGTGGATTAATACTAAATCTAGGTTCTTGTCTATGAGAGATTAAAACAAATCTTTGAAAGGCAATTTAAAATTCTAAATGCTAGCATTCTCATTTTTGAAAAGGAATTCATTGTTTTTATTACTTCCAAAGATGATAAAATTAAGAGCCCCTCTGCTTTGGATACTCAAACCTTCTTAAGGACCTCAATGAAGCATTTTTCTGGACCCAGTCAATGAATGTCTACACAGTCATTTATCGTTAATAGAAATGCCTGGTTAAGAAGCTATATTCCACAGGGTGTGGTGGCACACTTCTGTGATTCCAGCCCTCAGGAAGCTGAGCCAGGATGATTCCAAGTTTGAAGGCAACCTGGACTGCACAATGAGACCCTTTCATTAAAAAGAGGAGTGGGAGTGAAGGAGGAAGGGTGAAAGAAACCATGTTTCTCCATTTAGCACTTGTCAGTGGCTATTTCATTAATACTTTTCAGAGAAGCTGGTTTTACAGGTGTTGCAAATAAATTAGCATCATTGAAATGACACATTCCCAGGAAAACTCCAGAAAAAAAGGATATGTTACTTATAGAAAATACATTGTTAACACAGTTAGCTACAAGATAATATTTTGTGGTAGCCGGAATCTTAGAGTGTGGGAAATGTCAATTCTGTGACCACTGGGTAGATGAGTGGAGTGATGTTAGTCAGTTCTCTTTGCTTCAGTTCCTTGTTTAGAAGACAAGAGGAATGGCTGTGTTCAATGCTTCTCCTTCAGCATGCAGAAGAAACAGAAATTTGAACCCACAAAGTACTTTATTTTTTCTAGCAGTACTAGGGACTGAACCCAAGGCCTTCTCACTGAGCTGTATCCCTGGTCCTTTTTATATTTTTCATTTTGAGACAGGGTCTCATTAGGTCACTAAGTTGCCCAGGCCAGGCTCCAAGTTGAAATGCTCTTGCCTCAGCCTCCCAGAGTGCTGGTATTACAAGCATGAATCACCACACTTGAGCACAAGCAAGGTGCTTCTTATGCAATCATGAGTCAAATAATCGTAAGAGTCAAATATGACTCCACAGTTGGATGTGGGGGTGGTGTGGCCCTATAATCCTAGCATTCTGGGAGACTGAGGCAAGAAGGTCACAACATTGACCCCAGCTTGGAAAACTTAGTAATTTAGTGATACCCTGTCTCAAAAATTTGTTTTAAAAGTTAAAAATGGCTAGAGTTGTAGCTCAGTGTAAAGGCCTTGGGTTCAATCCCCAGTACTACCAAAAAAAGTACGACTCGGGCCAAGTGATGGGTCAGAGACAGCAGGCAGGTAGAGGGTAAAGCACCATAGAAGCAAAGAGATGTGTATGCCAGAGTCAGGTGGGGGATTTTCAAATTGTTCCCTCTTCCAACCTTAAGTGAGGAACATAACTGAAGAAGACCTCAGTGGCTGATGCCATAGTTATGGAAAATAAGCTCTGGGTTCTAAATATGAGAGATATACACTGTGGTGATTAAAGTCAAAGGCTTCAGTTTCAAGGACACTAGGGTATGAACATAGGGCCGGGGATTTAGCTCAGTGGTTTTGTCGCCTGCTGCGCAAGCGCAAAGACCCGAGTTTGATCCCTGGTACCTAAACCCCCCCCCAAATCCAAAAAACATTGATTCCACTCCTTATTGACATAGTCTTGAATGATTTATTTTATTTTTGCAGTACTAGGGATAGAACCCAGGTCCTTGTGTATCATAGGCCAATACTCTACCATTAAACTATATCCACAGACCTTTTTACAATTTTATTTTGAAGAAGAGTCTCATTAATTTTCCCAGGCTGACCTTGAACTTATCATCCTGCCTCAGCTCCCTAGTAGCTAGTATTACAGGTGTGTACTTAATATGTCAGACTTCAGCAATTTACTTAATTTTTTGAAAGCCTTCATTTCCTCATCTGTGAATCATCTACCTTTAGGGCTGGTGTGTGCTTGCCACACATTTATTAAAAAATAGTTCTGCCACTTTTGGAAACTCTGACTTTAACTGTCCACTCTGTATATCATGAATTTAAAGCAATACTTGTTACCACAAAAGTTTACCAATTACTTTTCACATAAAAGACAGACCTAGGGTCCTTAAAGTATATGTACATAAATAATTTTAAAGCTGGATATAGTTTTAAAACCGTGAAGATTATTCTCTATCACCCTTCATTTTATGAATGGGATAAACAAGGCCCAGAAGGGTAAAGATTCGCCCAAGAGATGATAGGTATGAAGGTCCAAACTACAACTTTATCTTTTGTCTTCTAGTTTAGCACTTTTCACTTCGTTTTTTTTGGTTCCAGAGATCGAACTCAGGACCTTGCACTTGCGAGGCAGGTGGCGGAGCCACCGAGCTAAATCCCCGGCCCCACTTTTCACTTCTTGCCTCTCTCTAATCATATATTTAATAAAAATAAAATATAAAAGCTTTAAAAAGATCATGATGCAAATGTTATATCCTGTCTATTTCAGGGGCCGGTGATATCATCACACAGGACATGAAGCAGCACTGTAAAATGGCCCTTGGACAGCTAATGAAATGAGTAGCACTGGAAGGAATAGTAAAAGCTGGGCACAGTGGCACATGCCTGTACTTTCAGCCCTCAGGAGGCTGAAGCAGGGGGACTAAAGTCTAGGCCAGCCTGGGTGACATAGCTAAAACCTATCTCAAAACATCCCTCCCAAAGATAATAATAAAGGAATAGAAAAACCACTGCTGTCATTGCAGAAGTGACATAGAAAGACATAGAAAGAGGTGAGCAACACCCTAGGCTGCAAAAACCAGGGAATAAGTTGCTGAGTTTCATATTCCTTACTGAGCCCTAGGCTGGTCCTAGTGTTTCAAGCTTCTGTGCTTCCTTGAGGAATCATAGGATTTCCAAAAACTCTATGTCTTCCCCATGGTGCTTCTTCCTCACATCCTCTACTCTAGTCCACCTGACTAACTGTATCTGCAATGAGTTGCTACTACAATTGTGCTCTCCTAGGTGAACAGAAAGTGGATGGGGATGTGACTAACACCAAAAATCCTTTAGTCCAAGTCAACAGATAATGACTAGTGCTGTGCCTCTGCAAATAGTGCCAAAGGTTCTTCTGGGCTCCCTCACCAGCAGGGAATCAGCATTGATTGAAGAGTTCCACTCCAGGTCTGACTCACTCAGCTCAGAGAACATCAAAGAACTGGGAGTACACTCAGTCTTTTCTGGGCAGCTGCCTGTCTGACCCAAAGTGACTACTGTGTAATCTCCATCAAGCAGACTGCCCCCAAAATGTGATCTGGAGGCTGGGAACCCACACAGAGTCCAGCAGCTACAGTGGTCTTTACTCCAGGCCTGGCTGCCATCAGGAAGGTATCTGTTACCTCCTGTGTTACCTTCTGGTCTCCACAATAATCCAATGACCATAAATTTCCAGCTTTGCTAAGTGTTAACCTACTTCTAACTTAACTGACTGCAACTTCTCCTTTGGGAAACAGCCATACTCCTGAGTGCACTCAGCTAAATGAGTGCCACCTTGTCTCTTTCCTCCACATCATCATTATAATTAATAAGCAACAATATCATCCCTCTTGGTTATGTTCTTATTAGGTGTTAACTGGCCTTCGCATCATTATCTCATTAAGCCTTTCCAGCAAAATTACTTTATCAGCTTCCCTCCAAAGGGGGTCTGGAATTGCCTGGCGGAAAGGAATCCCCTACAAACACAAGTAAGGGGAAAGGATATTCACAAGCATTTAGATCTGCTCCAAATATTAACATTTTTGAAAATGTAATGTTATTTCTGTTACTAGGAGTAACTTTACATTGCTATAAATCCTCTTATCCAAGTGCTTAATGCAAAATCCAGAAGCTTTTTACTTAATCTCACTCATTTTTATGGGGAAAAATGTGAAAGAATATATTCTAAAATATTTACAACAGCAAAAACCTCCTCCATCATCGCTATCCACATTTCTATTTGGATAAATTATCCTCAGTGCTTCCCTAAGATGCTGAATTTCAAGGTTTTGTATAAAAGGCTGTGAGCAGGTTTGCTTGCATACTCCCCTTCTCAGTTGTTCTAGAAGCAATCTTTTCTTCAACCTCCCTGATAATGCTTAGCTTTTCTTTCTTTAATAGCATTCATTTTATAAATCAACCTTTTGTAAAGGTAGATGAAGACTATTCTACTCATAAATGAATGAAGAACATAGACTAATACATTTCTCTAGAAATGCTTTCTTTCCTGAAGACTAATGACACTTATTGCTTCTTCTATTGTCCTTATGATTTCATGTTAACCACAAATTCTTTTCATCTTTCCTCCTTTATTCCTAAATTGTGCACATTCTCCAAAGGTTGGGGGATATGCCATCCAGAGTTCAAATTTGCCCTTTTACAGCCGCTAGTCACATTTTGTTTCCCACCCCAATTACCTCCTCCCTTTTCTGCCTTCCCAAATCCCTTAATCATCTCCTATGTAATTCATCATTCATCCTCACTTTCTCAAGTAATTTCCTCTTTTAAAATATCTTATTATCTCACATTCCTTATTATACACTTATCCTCCAAACCCTGTTGTTCATTTGATTTTCTCACAAATTGTGGAGTCTTACTCAATTTGTAACATTTCCCCCTCTTCCATCTTTTTTTTCCCTTGTCTTCCCACTTTGCAAGTTCTTTGTTTCCAAAGGTTCAGGTCATGATTTGAAATGGTGGAGATGAATCTAAATCTCCTTCTATTTATTTACTGAATTTTCAAAATCAATAATTATCATTCCAAGGGGGAAATCTGGGTTTATAATTCTCAAGTCATCCCACAGAAGCAATCAAATACACTGGGTTTCTTTTTTATTTAATCAGGTATAAAGAAAATTCAATTTTAAATGAAAGATTGAACAAATAATTGATTGGTGTTAACCTGAGATGTGTTGATCATTCTTTGTCTCCTTTAGGTATGAAGCCTGGTATCATCTCCAAAAGACACATTTTAACATGTCTTATGATTCTAAGTTTATAAACCTTTTCGCATGGGGATTGAAAATAAACCCTTAACTACAAATCTTCTTGTCACCAAACTTCCTGTTCCTGCTCAGACTCTTTTCATAGAAGAGTATAATCTTAGCTTTTAAATGTTTGTGTTTTGTTTTGCAAACTTCACAGGCTTTGAAGCCCTTTCCCCTTTCTCCTTAACTTATTTTCTCCTCCTGAAAAGTCAGGAGAATTAGTTTTAACCAACACTGGAGATGATCATTTTTCCCATTATTTTCTCTGCTTTAGAATCCCTCCCCTCATCCTCTCACAGTGCGTGTGTGCCTGTTTCAAGTTTATTACAGGGAAAAGTTCCTACATTTGTGGTGTCACCTTTACTTTCTCCCTCTATCTCTCCTGCCGCTTTATTTTGCTCCCTGCAGATACTGTTTCTGACTCTGATCATGTCTGGCAGTTGGAATGGCTGCCTGGGTTCTTCCAGCCCATCTGCAGGCCCAGAGGAGAGCTGTCTTGTCCCTACAGCACTCCTAGGTGCTGGCAAAGGATAGGCATCATGATAATCTACTTTGTTAAGTGGCAACACCCAGGCACTGAAAAGAAAGAAGCACACTGACCAGGAACAGCCACACTGCACTATACTTAAAGGAAGAACTGCAGCAGTTTCTCAAACTCTAACCGTCTCCCTGTTGAACTTCTCTGGAGAACAGTGCTTATTTTTCAAGGTTATTGATTTTTCCTTTCCATCACAGTCATATAAATGCCTTATATGGGAATAAGGCTAGTAAACTGTAACCACAGAAACCTAGCACCTATTTCCAGATAACTATAACCTTTTTTCTAAGCTGCCAAAGGAATAGATGGTGGTGGGAAGTCTTGCTGCTTGAATGACTATATGTTTCTTGGAAAAGAATTGAGTTGCCCTGAGTTTATCCTTTTTTTAAGTAATCCAAATTATCTACTCTTTTTTTCTAAAATATGACCCCTTTCCCTCTCAGCATTCTATTACAATTCACACACAATTTCTCTTGAGGGTATGATAGAGTCTAATTTTCTTCATTATTCAATTTGGATCCTGTTAAGTAAGACAGGCATTCACTGACAAGAAGAACATTTAAATTTTGGCAAATAAGTTCATTAGTATTCAGAAAGCTTTGCACCCCTCATATTTAATAAACCTTTCCATTACAGAGTAAGAAATTCTGCAAAATAGTGAAACAAATTAGCAATAGGGCCACCAAGAGACTACAGCCAACCCTAATTCAGAGATGTCTCAGTTGATCAGTTTTCTGTCAATCACTAAAACAAGAAAGGTGAAACATGCAATTATATACAAGGAGACAGAACTCCTAATTCTTCCCTCCTAGCTGAAGCATAAGAGCTCTAATTTCTTGGAGAAATAAGATTTTTGTTTTCTCTCAAGAGTAACAGAGAAAACAAATATAAATTGCCTTAGAGTCAATGACTAGAGCTACAAGATTCTGGATCATACAAATGAGCAGTGGAAAAACAAGTCTATTATGTATGTTTTGCCTGCACAATGGCCAATATCTAGGTATCTAGAAATGTAAGATGTTGGATAGAATGTGGCCCTTTTTGTAAGAATGTTTAGAGTTGTATAGATTTACTGATTCTGTTTCTGCTTAATGGAAGGAATACTGTACTAAAATATGTGAATATTTTGTGGATTATTTCAGAGTCAATTTTTCCATTTATGTGAGTTACCTAGGCCCTTTGTTTCTCTTTAAGGACCCCCCCCCCACACACACCCATTCTACTATTTTGAATACATTTACCAGAGGGAAAATAAGGAGGCGAGGAAACTCAACACAAATCAATCCATTTAGGAGTAAGGTACATCCATATAAATAAGGGCAACAGAGAAAACTAAAGTTTTTAGTCATGGAGAGGTACAGACATTACTTGTAGCTGTCTGTGTTCCTTGAATTCAACCACAAACTAATACTGAAAGCCAAGAGTAATTAATTCCACAATTTAAGCCATAAATTGAAATAACCTGAAATTATTTCTCAGGATAAAATTCTCAAAGCAAATAGTTTGTCAGGATTCTAAATTTGAAATTACATTAGTTATTTTCTATAAAATATTTTCTGTACTCAGATATATGTATTAAATAGATTTGCCAAAGATGAAAGAAACAAAAATGAGAAGTTGTTCAATGAAGTAGGAGGCCATGGCAACACCTTTGTGTGGGATTAGTGTTTTTCCTTTCCTTTTATAGGAAGGTTACTAGCCACAAGTGGTGTATAAAGAATATTGTACATGAAAGATGTCTGTCTACTGATAATTATTTTTTTGTTTTTTAAGTCTAGGATCTTCCTACTTGGGCATGGATGAGTGTCAGGGGGTGGAATAATCAGTGACCTTCACTGTATTGAGAACTTTTCCTCTTCAGGTCTATCCCAAGAAGTGAAAATTTATTACTTCTTTATATCTGGAAAGAGCTCTTTTCATGGTGACCCTGGGCCTGAATGATTATTTGCTGTGTATCTTAGGGCAGTACAAATTGCTTGAGAAGAACTGGGCACCTGACTGTAGAAGGTCACCCTGGAAGTCCCACCAGCACACTGCCCTGGAGCATAGTTGATTCTCTCCAAAGGAAAAGCAAGAAAGTGTCAGGCTTACCTTGGGTCCTCAAACCTAGCACGTACCTGATTCATGGCACATAGTATATGGTCAGTAGAAATGGGAGGAAGCAAAAGACAGGAAGAAAAGAAGTAATGAGAGAGGGAATAAAACCTCTGTGAGTCTATGGGGTACAGAGTTAGCACCTTCTAACTCAAAAGGTAAAAAGCAGATTCATTATATCCTAAAAGATTGACAGAAACAAATAATCCTTCAAAAAAATTAAAATTCAAGTAACTCTTGAAGGTCTATCTGACTTCACAGCTTAGAATAAGAGCATTTGAAACTGGCCTGCTGTTGTCTGGAGCCTGATGTTAACCTTTTTAAAGCCAAAAGGGATATGGAGTCACTCAAGAGGCATCAAAGGGGCATGTGGAGTGTCTCGCTGAGTCACACAGCTTGTTAGTATCAGGATAAAGACTCAACTCCAGGTCCCAAGGGTTCCAGCCAGCACTTTTCACACTGCAGCTTCCTACCCAGAGCAGAAGCAATAGTTGGTTCTGAATCCCAGCACTGCCTATTTCCCGACCCAAATCACTTCACATTTCCTCCTGCAGAATCCCTCCCAACTCCAAGCACTTCACAGGACTCCAAAGGACTTTGCATAGCTTTCATGAGAAGCTCACATTCATAGAGTTATTAAAAGTGACCACCAGTCCCACATGTCATGATTCTAAGCTTGTTCCATGTTGCCTTCTTCTATAAATAACCAGCAATATCATTGTTCGGCCAAGTATGTTTGAAGTTTCCTGCTCTACCTGGTGTCTCCATTGACCTAATTAATTCAGTACAGGATCTGACCACCTGACCTATAGACAAAGTTCAAATTTCATTTCACTTGAAGTACTCTGTTAGCAATGACCCATACCCTCAAGTAAACAAAGACACCCTCAGAGCTCACATCCTAGAATGCCAAGACAGGCTAACCTGGTGTATTCATTTTCAAGCTCTAGAGTGCACAGACTAATGAATTGGTGCTTCCTTATTGTCTGCTCTTTACTAGAGGAAAAGAGCCAAGCATGAGGCCCACCCGAGTACTTAACCTGTCCGCTGGTCCAGATGAGCTAGCTGGAGTGCCCGATTTATATATCTTAGTAGGAAAAACAGGAACCCTAAAGTAAAACAGCCTCCTACTCCTCTACATTCTGATTAGTACTATTTTCTATCCCTAAAGAATTAATTTGTCAACCCATTCCTTCCAGTATCACATAGAATACTCCCTGAGAGAAGGGCTGTGAAATACATTTTCCACCTCTTGCATTTCCATGGATAAGTTAGAACACCACTGACATTTCAGTCCCCCTAGACGTTAGTCCTCCAAGCAGTTGTCCAGCTGGTGGATCTTTTTTGTTGATGCTGATGACACTCATTACGTGAATGAAGAGCCAGTTGACTGAGAAACTGCAGCTCATGTTTCTCTTCTCCAGAAGACTGGGCAGCCCATCTACAAAGTCTTCTTGATGATTGTATTCAGGGACCAGTGTTCAAGAAGCTCAGCAGCAGTGGGGAAACAATACAGGAAAAGGCCATGCTCTTCCGAAGGAGTGGGTTTCCCATCTATCTCAGCAACTGTAAAATGATAAATCACAGTTTATATAGTTAAGCCACCATGCAAGTGAGGATCTTGGTAAATACACGGCTTAAACAATGACTGATGATGGATTCACTGACTTTTAAATGAAGCCTGTGGTTTTCCAGACAATGAGGCACAGACTAGAGGAACCCACAAAGATTCCTAAGGATTCTCCGTCCCTTCATTAATTTGTCAGTACCAAAGAAGGAAAATCTATACAGTAATTGCAATTAAGTACTGGTGAGTCTGCATGCATGGAGCATATAGAATGTTTGGGCTAGAGTGGCACATATTAGGGAAAAAGGAAAGACCTAAAAAATACAAACACACTCACTTTTTCTTCACGGTATTGCACACAGCTGACCTAAACAGAGAAGTGATTTCTTGAATGAGAACTGAGTAAATAATATTTAGGGACAAACTTGGATTTAAGATCCCATAAAAAGAAACACAGCAACTCAAGCTTTATCCTTAGCCCAGCTCCTGAGCAATTAATATGTTAGTCCCCCAAAGTCTTTAACAAAATGAAACAGAATGGTACAACCACAGTGAAAGATGGTCTAGATAAAATATCAGTAGTTTAGGGCTTCTCTGTCAAAAGCATCACACGGGGACTGACTAAAAGATTGGGCCAGGACTGAGCCCAGGTCTCCCAAAACCCAGCCCACAACACTGCTCAAGTAAATCTCCATGAATATAATGTTGGATTTTTGCTATAGACAGAGCTAGGAAGATCACCTTCCTCAAGCTCTAAAGCAGTGTTTGGTGGTATTTAGGTAGTAATTTCCCCTTCCTGGACAACAGTCTGGCTCAGTGGGACTGGGACAAGGCACAGGAATCTGCATGTTGACAGGCTCCCTGAGGGACTCCGATCTTGTGGCTGTAGGAACCATCTCTAGTCACTTTGCCTGTCAGTGCATGCGGAGAGCTAGAAGGTCTCACTGAAGAGGCTGCTCTGGGGCATATGCCTAAGCCCAAATATCAAAGATCTGCTTGGGCTGGGGATTTAGCTCAGTGGTTTTGCCACCTGCTGTGCACGCGCAAGGACCCGAGTTGGATCCCCAGTACCAAAAAAAAAAAAAAAAAAAATCTGCTGACTATGGATCACAAGTCGGGGACTGGGAGACCAACACCAGCTTTGAAATCTCAAAGTATGTTTAGAATGGACAAGAAAGACCTTCTCTTAGCCTGTTGTCCTTAATGACTTTGTTGTTGACAATATCCTAGCTATAAACTCAAAATTTCTATATAACTACTAGTCTTCCAACATATGCTGAGCCCCTATTTTGTGTAAGACTGAATGTAGGAGTGGCTGAGGTAAACAAACAAATCAAGCCCTACTTAGGTGTAGGGGTGCACACCTGTAGCCCCAGTTACTCAGGAGACTGAAGTAGGAAGATCATAAGTTCAAGATCAGCCTGCACAATTTAGTGAGATACTCTCTCAAAATTTTAGAAAGGAGTCTGGAGATATAGTATGAGCCCCTGGGTTCAAGCCTCTGTGCCTCAAAAATTAAACAGTAAGAATTAGTTGTAAAAGGGCCGGGGATTTAGCTCAGTGGTTCCGCCACCTGCCTTGCAAGCGGAAGGACCCAAGTTCAATCCCGGTACCAAAAAAAAAGAATTAGTTGTAAAAAACCTATTATGAGCAGACATCTACATGTAAGAAGAGTATCATTACAGGGCAGTGTCATTGAGAACAAAATGGCCCAGAGCAGCGCCCACAGAGCAGTGTCACCAAGAGCAGAATAGCACAAAGCAGTGTCACCTAAGCAGGTCCCATGTAATCCAATAATTTCTAAACCCACTGCCTGGAACAATCATTTTTGGCAGATCCTAAACCCCCACCCAGAGTATTATGACTCAGCTGAGCCTGAGAACAAGTCTGAAATCTGTACTTTTAACTAGCTCCCAGACGAATTCTAAGCAACCAATTTGGAGCAGTGGGGATTGAATCCAGGGCTTCAAACATGTGAGGCAAGTGCTCTACCACCCAGCCACACTGTGAGTTCCTCCACTTCCTCTCTATTCTGAACTTACTTAATTTAGTCCCTTCAACTCATGTTTGGTTTTATTCCTATCAACAGTCTTCACATATGCTATCTTCCTACTTAATATTTCCATATGTTTTCTGAGAAAAGATACAGTTTGTCATGGCTTGTGTCTTGATGTCTCCCAAAGTCCCATGCAGTCATAGCTGGAGCTTTTTCTAAAATTGATTGGTATAATGCTAGCTCAAGGGCACTAGGATTGAGGGTGTGAGTGCTACCTGCCCTAAGTGGTCTACAGAAGATAAAAAGGGAAGAAAGATGCTGTTGAGGGCCCCTCCCCTTTCCCTTGTTGCTTTTGCTGTCTTCCAACACCGTGAACTGTTGCCCCTCTGCCACCCTGCCTTGGAGCCAGCCGATTATGCACTGAAACCGCTACAAACTGTGAGCCAAATAAACCTTTCCCTCTTTAATTTTGGATTGGGCATTTTGTTTCAGCATTGAGAGAAAGTAACTAACATGCAGTTTTATTCTTTAAGATAACACACAGACAAAAGCTCATGTCCAACATATAGTATGTGATTCCATTGACATAAAATGTCTAAAATAAGCAAATCCATAGAGTTAAAGTAGATTGGTGGTTGCCAAGTTCTAGGGAGAAAGTGGGATGGTGATGACTGCTAAAGGATAGGGGTTCCTTTTGGAGATGATGAAGACCTTCTACAGTTGGACTGTGGTGATAATTACACAACTTTGTGACTCTATTAAAAAACCACTGCACTATAAACATTAAGAAGGTGGATTTTAAGGTTTGTGAATTATATCTCACTCTTGAAAAGCCCATGGAGAAGTATGGGCCCCACATATCACAGTCAAGTGAACTACTTGGTTCCTTAGCTCCTCACGACTATCAGGTGGCATCCTCTGGGCAAGAGGTAGGCAGCTGATGACAATAACAGCTACCATCTATTGGATATTATTATGTGGCAGACATGCATTACACACAATACATGTTTGTCTAAGTACATGACTATCTCAGAAGATACATTAAAACCAAAGATACAGGTAACATTTAATATACTGCTATTACTGAGATCTTACAGATGATAAAGTGAAGATATGTAAGATTAAATAACTTGACCAGACCAGTAACTAGAGGGATCTGTTCAATAGGCACCAAAAGAGATCTGCCCTAAACAAGTTTATTATGTATCTGACATTTCCACCATTAGATTTGAGAAATAAAATAATAATGATAATAGTGATAACAGTAAAGCTTAAGATTTATCAAATACTTTCCGTGTTATGATCCACTACATTTTCTCAATAGGTTATCTCATATAATCTTCAACTGTGAATACATACTATTGTCATCCCTAAAAACATGTAACTTGCCTAACAGATAGTAAGTGATGAAGCCAGAATTTGCACAGATGCTTAGTGCTCAGCCAGTCAGTGACCCACACTCAGATGCCTAAGGGCATAGGACAATGAAAGTATGAAGTGGCCCTCACTGATATTTTGAAATACAAAAAATACCTTCCCATCTTTTATTTACCTATAGAGACATGGCACAATTTCTCTTAATACAATAAAGCAAAGCATAAGAGCAATGATAAAAGGCAAATGACATTTTTCCTCAATGTTGGGGCCATAATAGGATATGTCAGAAATTATGGCAAAGTGGAGAGAGAGCTCACTTCACCTGAAGGGGCCACCACCATTCAACCTCAAGCTTCTGTTTTAAAATGGGTAGTGCTGCAGATTCACTATATTTTCTGAGATGAGATGAAGCCAACAAAACAGACTTTTCCATGAAATTTTTTAGCTTTTGAAAGATGGCAAACAATTCTGCAGACTAGATCTGGCTTGAAGCAGTCCACCCTTGACCTCTATACACAGTAAAATGCCTCATCACTCAGTTCTGTGTGACTGGGACTTAGCGTTTGGAGTGAAAAGCGAGAATCTGAACCATGAGGAGGTGAGGGTATGAAGAGTCTTGAGGCCAACCCCAGGAAGGCAAGCTTTCTTCTGCAGGCCAGAGAAAGCCAGAAGCTTTGTTGCTTCATCTTATTGAAGAATGAAAAGGAACCAGATCAGAAAGACATCCCTAAGGATTCTGTAAAGGTAAAATAGGCAGTAAAGACAGCTGAGGTAGTGACAGCAGATGGAAGGTAGGTGCCCTCGTGAGCCCTAACCCGAGGCCATCACAATGGCGGTAAGAGAATGAACTGAAGTCAACTAGTGACAGAGATCTTCCCCAGTAGATAATAGATCTGTTTAGATCAAAGGAGTTACATATATACTAGAACATCCGTTGATTTAAAAAATAGACTATTGTCATGGAGAGGGAGGCTTAGCAAACGTGAGGAGAGCTAAGAGAGAGGGGTTTCAGGAGACAGCTTGTTCAAGGCTGGTTTGGCATATATAAAGGAAAGAAAATGTTCTTGGCTAGAGAGGAGACAGCTTTAAAACGGCCTAGAAAAACAAAAGTGAACGGGGGAAATAAAAAGAACATATATAAGGAGATCAGGTATTAAGAAATTAAGAAGAAATATGGGAAACCAGCAGGGAAAAAAATAATTAGGCAATGAACAGTCAGGCCCCCACAGTCCAGATTTAATGCAGATGAGAGAACATAGGGAAGGCATTTTTTTTTAAAAAAAGTTATAATGGAGGCAAAGGAGATTGCTTTAACAGAGACAGAACTTAAGAACAGAGACCACAGTGGAGGTATTTACAGAAAATAGGAGAAAAAATGGGCCAGAATATGGGAAAGGATTATAGCTAGTAGAGACTAATGGGAAAAGATGAGTCTTAGAGATGTCAGAAAGGAAAATATGACAGGATTTTGGAATATTCTCAGAGTAAAAATAAGGCCTTTTTTTTTCTAAAAAATACAAAGTTCTTTCTACACAGTGCTTAAGAACCAGCTCTGAGGGAAGCCAAAGATAACACCAGAGCTGCATTCCGAGGTCATGAGGAAGAGAATGCAGTTACCAGAAAGCC